TCTATACAGGTCCAAATGCATTGATTCCAAAGGTATACGGTAGCTAAGACATCAAGATACATTTCATCAGAAGACACCAACATCCAAATCCAAAGAAATTCCAGTCAAAATAGACGATTACTAGCGCAGTTTGCACATTCTGATCAACCCAGAACAGCAACAGTAAAATCGATATAACTCATTTTATGCTACTCCAATTGCCCTGAAATTTTACAGGCACCTAAAAAACATCAATACCTACAACTTTCATGTTTTAAGCAAAGGCCAATTCGGCCTCTAACCATATGATCCAAAACCGGGCAGAAAAGGGGGTTATGAAACCCTAACTTTTCACATTTCAATCCAAACCCAAAATTGGTTGCAATGATCAATCATTCACACCTACTAGAGTCATAACCCCTCATTACCAACCATCATAAATAACCACAACACCATGATCACATTAAACCAGAAAATTCATCAATAAAATAAAAACTTCACCAATTCATCACAAACCAAGAAACAAACCACAAATATCAACACTTTAGCCACCACTAGGCACAAATTAAACATCATTAGGTGTAAGAGGAAGTGTAATCATCACTTACCTACTAAACAAGAGAGAGGGAGTTGTAGAACACCTTAGCTTCCTTAAAAAACTTCACCAAACAACTTACTAGCACCTAATGGAAGACTTTTATGGAGTAGAAACTAGTTGATGCAATTGGTTTGGAAGATTGAGCTAAATGGAAGCTTGAAAATTGGAGAAATCTTCTTCCTTCTTGAGCTTAAGAGAGTCGGCCACCAAGGAGTGAAAAATGGTGATTTTTAGTCAATTTTTGAGATATTTAACTTAAGGGTAAAAAGTCAAAAAGTCCAACCAATGAGAAAGTGCCACTTGGCACTCTATTAAATGCATTTCTATCCTTTAAGTCTCTCTCACATCAATCAAATCACCTCCTCTTCTTATCTCTTAACACCCGATAAATTTTACATAGTATCCGGAACTTAATCTTATTGGCCGAATTTTTCCGAACTTTTCGCACTAGTGGGGCCCACGTCCATTCTCTATCCTTATTTTGTCAAAAACTACCCAATGCTAGAAAAATCATCTAAAAACTATAATTACTCATAAAATCCACCAAGAAAATTTTCCTATGCCAGAAAATGCAGAAAACATGCAATTAAAGGGAAAAACCCTAGGAAAATTATTAGGGAAAATACGGGTTCTCACACTCTCTCCCCCTTAAAAGAATTTCGTCCTCGAAATTTCTCACCTTAACTCTCAAACAGGTTTGGATACTTCTTTCGCATCTCTTCCTCCACTTCCCAAGTAGCTTCCTCTATCCCATGGTTTCTCCACAGCACTTTTACTAACGGAATCCGCTTGGTTCTGAGCTCCTTGACTTTCCGGTCAAGCACTTGGACAGGTTTCTCTTCATAAGCAAGCGATTCATCTACTTCAATCTCCTCCGGTTGTAAGACATGGGATGGGTCGGGATGATACTTCTTTAACATCGAGACGTGAAACACATCGTGGATTCGAGAGAGACTGGATGGCAGTTCCAATCGATACGCGACCGCTCCTACTCTCTGCAGGATCTTGTAGGGTCCGACGTACCGTGGTTGAAGCTTCTTTCCTTTGCCCGCTGTAAGACTTCGTAAGGATGTGATCTTGAGAAACACGTGGTCTCCAACTTCAAACTCCAAGTCCTTTCTTCGATTATCCGCGTAGCTCTTTTGTCGACTTTGAGCTGTTTGAAGTCGTTGCCGTATCAACTTGACCTTCTCTTGAGCCTCTTCCATCCATGGAATAGTTGCCGGGTCTAGTGCTTTCTTTTCACCAACTTCGTCCCAGTAAATCGGAGAGCGGCATTTGCGTCCGTAGAGAGCTTCGTATGGAGCCATCTGAATCGACGAATGGAAGCTGTTGTTGTACGCAAACTCTACCAAGGTCATGTGTTGACCCCAGTTGCCTCCAAAATCCAGAATGCAAGTTCGTAGCATGTCCTCTAGAGTTTGAATTGTCCGCTCTGACTGTCCATCCGTCTGTGGGTGATAGGTCGTGCTCAAATTGAGTTTAGTCCCCAAGGTTTCTTGAAACTTCTGCCAAAACCGAGATACGAACCGTGGATCCTGATCAGAGACGATGCTCACAGGCACGCCGTGTAGCCTTACGATCTCGTCCATGTACAGTCGGGCCAACTTGTCCATGGAATACTTCATGTTCACCGGCAAGAAATGGGCCGACTTGGTTAAGCGATCAACGATCACCCAAACAGCATCGTGTTCTCTTTGCGTCCTCGGCAAACCAGAAACGAAGTCCATTGTGATATTTTCCCACTTCCACTCGGGTATCTCCAAGGGTTGTAACAGACCCGATGGTTTTTGATGCTCTGCTTTCACCTGCTGGCAAATGAGACATTTTTGCACGTACTGAGCGATTTCCCTTTTCATATTGTCCCACCAATAGGTTCCTTTCAAGTCCTGATACATCTTGCTGCTGCCCGGATGGATTGTATACTTGGACCGATGAGCTTCCTCCAAAATTTCAGTTTTCAACGATTCAACCTTCGGTACCACAATTCGGTTTCGATATTTCAATATACCCTCAGGACTAAAATTGAAGTCCGTTGTTTCTCCCTTCTCCACTTTCTCTCTCCACTTCTTTACCATCAAATCTTCATTTTGTCCCTCTTTAATGCGTTCCAGTAGAGTGGAGGTCACCCTAACATTGCTAAATAGCACCTTATGGCTCCCAAGACAGGGTCTCCACTCACATACGGATTCTAATAAATCCCACTCTTTAATCATCAACCCTGCTACTTGCACCTTACGACTCAAGGCATCAGCTACCACATTTGCCTTTCCCGGATGGTAGTTGATTGTGCAGTCGTAATCTTCCAAAAATTCCATCCACCGTCGTTGCCTCATGTTCAGTTCCTTCTGGGAGAAAAGGTACCTAAGACTCTTATGATCCGAGTACACTTCAAAGGTCACCCCATATAGGTAATGCCTCCACTTTTTCAGAGCAAACACAACCGCGGCTAGTTCCAGATCGTGGGTCGGGTAATTCTGCTCGTGAAGCTTCAACTTCCTAGAGGCAAAAGAAATTACATTACGGTTCTGCATCAAAACACACCCTAGGCCTTCTCGCGACGCATCTGCATACACCGCGAACCCGTCCACTCCATTTGGCAAAACCAGTACTGGAGCCGTGGTCAATCTTCTCTTTAATTCCTGAAAACTTGTTTCGCATCGGGCGTTCCAAAGAAATCGACCATGCTTCTTTGTCAGGTCAGTTAAAGGTCCTGCTAGTTTGGAGAAATCTTTAATGAAACGGCGGTAGTACCCAACTAGCCCTAGAAAGCTACGAATTTCCGTGGGAGTTTCTGGTCTCTTCCAATTTGTCACGGCCTCTACCTTTGCCGGGTCCACCGAAATACCTTCGTGGGAGATTACGTGCCCTAGGAATGCTACCTTCTCCAACCAAAACTCGCATTTACTAAACTTGGCGTACAACTGATGTTCCCTTAACGTCTGCAACACCACTCTCAAATGCTCCTCATGCTCCTCGCGTGTCTTAGAGTAGACCAAAATGTCATCAATGAACACAACGACAAATCGGTCTAGATAGGGTTTGAAAACCCTATGCATTAGGTCCATAAAGGCGGCAGGAGCATTAGTCAGTCCAAAGGGCATAACGGCGAACTCGTAATGCCCATATCTCGAGTTGAAAGCAGTTTTCGGTATATCCTCCTTTCTAATCAACAACTGATAATATCCTTGTCGGAGGTCCAACTTTGAGAAGACCACTGCTCCTTGCAGCTGGTCGAACAACTCGTCGATGTGGGGCAGTGGATATTTATTCTTGATCGTAACATTGTTCAGACCCCGATAGTCAATACACATCCTCAAGGTTCCGTCCATTTTCTTCACAAATAGGACAGGAGCTCCCCAAGGAGACCCACTCTCATGAATGAATCCCCGCTCCAAAAGATCTTGTAATTGCAACTTAAGCTCCTTAAGTTCCGCAGGCGCCATTCGGTAAGGGGTTTTTGAGATAGGTGAAGTTCCAGGTAACAGATCTATTTGGAATTCTATCTCCCGTTCTGGAGCTAAAGCTACTAACTCATCAGGGAATACATCCGGAAATTCCCTCACTACGGCCACGTCTTCCACTTTTAGCTTATCCGTAGGGGTGTTAATCAAAAAGGCCAAAAATCCTTGCGCCCCTCTACTTATCAGTTTCCTAGCTCGAATGCCCGAAATCAAAGCAGATGAGGCTAACCTACCCCTTATATCCAACCTTAAGGTTGCCTCGCCAGGAATGTGAAATTCTACCACCTTCGTTTTACAATCCAGTCGGGCGTTATATTTGGCTAGCCAGTCCATACCCAGAATCACATCATACCCCTTAATGGACAAGCTTATCAGGTCTCCTAAAAATCTCTTTTCACCTACCCATACCTCACAATCCCTATAAACCATACTAGTCACCAAACGTTGATTCCCCGTAGGTGTACTAACTTCTAGGTCATATGGTAAACTTGCAGGTTTTATATCGATGCCACACATGAAATCAGGGTTAACAAACGAATGAGTGGCACCAGGATCAATTAAAACTTTGGCAAAGCCGTGGAAAATAGGGATCGTACCTTCTACGACCTCTGACGACTCTGGGACCTGATGGGGCTCTAAGGAGTACACCCTAGCTGGCACTTTAGGTTTGGACCCATCTCCCTTCGCTGGTCCAGTATTGGTCCTCGGCGGAGGTTGGCTTCCCTTTTCATCTTGTTTCAGGACCGGGCAAGTAGCCAATTGGTGGTCCGCGCTTCCACATCGCAGACATTTACCCTGTTTCCTCCAGCAGTTGTCTTCGGTGTGGTTTGGCTTCCCGCAATGCCCGCAGGGACCGCGAGGTGCTGAAGCCGAGCCACTCTGAGCATTTCCCCTTGGTCCTCGCCCAGCTTGGCCACCCCTGAATGGAGTCCCTCTACCTGAACCAGATTGTCGACCACCTCCCGTTCCTCGTCCAAATTTAGCAGGAGTTCTCTTATCACCCTGTCCAGAACTACTCCCAGGAAAGCCACGCTTCTTGGCCTGGAAGTTTCGAACTTGCAACCGTGCACTTTCAACCCGTTGGGCCTTTTCTACAACCTCGCTAAACGCAGTGATTTGAGCCACCGCGAGGTCTTTTTGAATCTCAACATTCAAACCCTGAATAAAGCGCCTAATCCGTCGTTGTTCAGTCATGATTAACTCAGGCGCAAACTTGGACAAGCGGGTGAATTGACTCTCATATTCCGCCACCGTCTGAGTCCCTTGGCGGAGCCTAATAAACTCGTCCTCCTTCCTCTCTTGGACTAGAGGAGGGAAGAATTTCGCATTAAACTCTCGAATAAAGTTCACCCAAGTCCTGGGCGTTTGCTCCCTTTCCCATTTCTGTCGGATCACGTTCCACCAGGAACGGGCCGCCCCCTCAAGCTGAAACACGGCAAACGTCACCTGCCGTTCATCAGGGTAGTGTAAGGCTGCAAATATGTCAACCATCTTTTCAAGCCATCTCTCGGCAACGTCCGGGTCGGGTCCCCCAACAAACTTCGGCGGGGCAAACTTTTGAAAGCGTTCGAGAGCTCTATCTTCGCTCTCGACATGATGGCCAGGGTTTCCGGGGTTTCCAGGGTTAGGGTTTGGGTTCTGGGCTTGTTGCTGCACTACTTGTGCGAGCAAGTTTGTCATTTGCTGCATAGCAGCAGCTATCTGCACATTAGGGTCGGCTTGGGGTTCAGGATCGGGTCCAGTCAAGGTTTCCCCCGTACCCCTAACCGGTGTGGGTTGTCTAGTTCCGCGCCCACGTCCCCGACCACTCCGAGTACCTTCCATAAGGTTTACTTGGTCTAGGCAAGAGTACTAAACCAAAGTGGTAACAAGGCATGTAAGTAATACGCAAAACTTTCACAATAACACATATTTATACATTGTAAACATGATCATGATCACAAACATATATGTACAACCAAGCAAGATCAAGCCACACACATATATACAATCAGTCGAGTCAAGTACAGGCAAGTCAGAAAAACATAGACGATCCCCCGAGGATTGGCCTTATCAAAAGAAATTTACACGTAGCTAGTACAACAACCAAAACGACTAGCTAAGGCTCTATCCCTAACCCTATGTACATACAAAAACCACCAAACTATCCAAAAGAAGCCTAGAAGTCAAGGCCTAGTCAGTTGCCGGGGTCTGGGACCCAGGCGACGGGGTAGACTCCTCTCCAGCCTCGGCCTCCGCACACGAAGCCTCATCGCTATACTCCTCAAGGCCATCGTCACAAAGATTAAGGATCGACTCAGCGCGACCCCTAACCTTACGAGCTCGCTTAATCTCGATCTCTCGAGCCTCCCTCAGTTGAGCGCAGAGATCGTCAACTCTATCCTCGACCTCAAGAACGTCATATTCGAGCTCTTTAATACGTGCAGCTTGCTTCTCATTGGTCGCCCTATCCTGGATCGCCTCGACCTCAAGTCGAGCATTCTCTCTAGCCAACACCTTACGCTCCTTGTCCAGAGCAAACACAAGAGCGTTCGGATGGGAATACTTCGGTTTACATGCACACCGTCGAAGACGGTTAGACGGGCTCCAGCGGATAACGGCCCCTCCCGGCCGTATCTGATATGTGATCACGGGGAGTGCTCTGCGAGGTCTCACTCCCGAAGGACTAGCACTAGAGTCACCCTGTCCGGCCATCCTACACCACAAGAGCAATTACCGTAAATATAAGCTTAAAGGCCATAAACAACAAATCCTCAAATCAAACACCCAGGCTAATTCAAACCTAGGCTCTGATACCACCTGTGACAGCCCCACCTTCCCCTAAGGCGGATCAAAGGGGTTAGCGGACTGCCTGCCCAGCTCTCGCCAGGACTAACGAGCAGTTACACGCGTTCTAAAACGTTTCGGGAAAATAAAAGCGCGTTCGGACAAGCCACAAGTATCAAAGTATCAAAATAAAAAAAAACGAAAACGATGAATAGTGCCTGGAACAGAAGAATCCGGCCGGATTCTTGGCCGGATACTGTCCAGTGGCGAACTTCCGGATTCAGTCCAGTGCCTTTCCGTCAAAAATTTTCTTTTGCCGTTTGCAAGCCGAATCGATCCGAAGTCCAACCAAACATCAACCAAACATGAATACATTGAAATTCAACATTTACAACCACATTGACATGTCAAAAGCTATTCATCATGGTTACACATGTTCGGTTTGCCAATCAAAAGATGAACCCAATACACATTAGGGTTTCATGCAAAGAGCTATTCAAAATAGACATATACATGGCTCAATTTGGCAACCAACAAGTATGATCTTCCAAAAATGATCATTTTCCTGTAAGGAAAACAAATGGAACGGAGTGAGCTAAAACTCAGTGAGCAACTATCACATAATCAACAAAGATCACTTAAGCATAACCGTTCATTCCAAGTGCACAACTAATGAATAAAACAAATCAGTAAAAGGATACGGACGGCTCTCAAGAGCCCATTTCCACGCTTGCATTCTTGATCCAACCTCATTGACCCTCCGTCAATGTTAAAAGTACCAAATCGTAGACCTCACTTCACTTCCATTCCTTCCACCCAACATACCCCAACCGGGCCCGCACTCCAAGCAGTAACTTTAGGTGATACTCGAGTACACCGGAACCAAGGGTCTCATTACCACAAGATTCCCATTTCAGTCCCCGTGGCGAGTCAATTTTCACGACCAAGCCCTCGCTGGCTCGATTCAAGTGACTACCAACGGGGTCGAGCTCAGTAGTACAGTAGCGCCGTTGGATACTCGTCCAACCGACACCCAAACAATATCCCATGAATGGAATCCAATAACTCATATAGCAGTACAGTAATACAGTGAAACGGTAAACAGTCAGTCACAAGTATAAAAGGAATGAGGGCGGTCAAGTACACCCTCACCCTAATCATTTCCAATGGCCAAACAAGCCTTCAAGGCATCACAATCACATATAGCAAAGCCACATTATAAACATCCAAGTGAGTAGTATACTCACCACTCACGTAGGTGAGGTTTCATGCACCGCCGTCCAAAGTACGTCGTGTACTAACGTCACGCCCTAGAACATGTAAACAAAGACCATAACCGTTGGATACTCGTCCAACCGACACCCATAACCGTAATTGCAGGTTTACAAATCACACTATACTGTAATTAGTCCAACTCAGTCTATACAGGTCCAAATGCATTGATTCCAAAGGTATGCGGTAGCTAAGACATCAAGATACATTTCATCAGAAGACACCAACATCCAAATCCAAAGAAATTCCAGTCAAAACAGACGATTACTAGCGCAGTTCGCACATTCTGATCAACCCAGAACAGCAACAGTAAAATCGATATAACTCATTCTACGCTACTCCAATTGCCCTGAAATTTTACAGGCACCTAAAACACATCAATACCTACAACGTTCATGTTTTAAGCAAAGGCCAATTCGGCCTCTAACCATATGATCCAAAACCGGGCAGAAAAGGGGGTTATGAAACCCTAACTTTTCACATTTGAATCCAAACCCAAAATTTGTTGCAATTATCAATCATTCACACCTACTAGAGTCATAACCCCTCATTACCAACCATCATAAATAACCACAACACCATGATCACATTAAACCAGAAAATTCATCAATAAAATAAAAACTTCACCAATTCATCACAAACCAAGAAACAAACCACAAATATCAACACTTTAGCCACCACTAGGCACAAATTAAACATCATTAGGTGTAAGAGGAAGTGTAATCATCACTTACCTAGTAAACAAGAGAGAGGGAGTTGTAGAACACCTTAGCTTCCTTAAAAAACTTCACCAAACAACTTACTAGCACCTAATGGAAGACTTTTATGGAGTAGAAACTAGTTGATGCAATTGGTTTGGAAGATTGAGCTAAATGGAAGCTTGAAAATTGGAGAAATCTTCTTCCTTCTTGAGCTTAAGAGAGTCGGCCACCAAGGAGTGAAAAATGGTGATTTTTAGTCAATTTTTGAGATATTTAACTTAAGGGTAAAAAGTCAAAAAGTCCAACCAATGAGAAAGTGCCACTTGGCACTCTATTAAATGCATTTCTATCCTTTAAGTCTCTCTCACATCAATCAAATCACCTCCTCTTCTTATCTCTTAACACCCGATAAATTTTACACAGTATCCGGAACTTAATCTTATTGGCCGAATTTTTCCGAACTTCTCGCACTAGTGGGGCCCACGTCCATTCTCTATCCTTATTTTGTCAAAAACTACCCAATGCTAGAAAAATCATCTAAAAACTATAATTACTCATAAAATCCACCAAGAAAATTTTCCTATGCCAGAAAATGCAGAAAACATGCAATTAAAGGGAAAAACCCTAGGAAAATTATTAGGGAAAATACGGGTTCTCACACAAAGTACCAGAACTTCATAAATAGATTTGATATTTTGCATCTTCCAATAACAGTTTAGCCATAAAACTATATCCTAAAAATTGTTTGGATATCAATAAACAGTAAAAGAAACAACCATCAAAATCACTTAAAGATTCATTCTCCACATTGGCACCAAAATCTATTAGCTATTGCCATGCAAAACTAAAAATTTTCTCTTCTCATACATAGACATGAAACATGCAGTTAGAATGGAAATCCTACAAAAAAAATCATAGAATCATAATCATAATCAGCTCCCAAAATCATTTGCTCAAGAACATGCTCTATTGTCGACTTCCTAGTGAATTCATATTTGAAAAAATAATTGTTACTGTTGAGGTTCTTTAAGAGTACTATCCGTTGCTAATAGCCAATGACTGTAGTTGAATCAGTTGCTATAATCCAGTTGATCGAGAAGCAAATTAGATTCAATTTTTATGATATACAAGTAGAGAATCCATGGACTTAGACTAATCATTTCCTAACTTTATTTTATGAAGAACATGCTCAGTTTCCTACTTGATTAAATTATTTAACTCAAGCATGCTAACTTTGAAACTCTTGCTTCATAGAAGTACCAAAACTTTTTTGTCAATGCTGGAGAGTAGGCAAGTAAATAGCAAGAAAAATTGAATGAGGCAATTTTTTTTTCAAAGAACCTTCTCAAGAGATCCCAAAAACAGCATCTAGATTTAACGTAACATTTGCAATCAATCTAAGAACTAATTATTTCAAGTTTCAATAGACATTTCATCAAACAGTTAGTAGTCATGGGTTTTTGAGATTTCACATATTCAACACTCTTCGTAAGCCTTAGAAGCCGAAGGCAATGTCATATTGAAATCATGTCCCTAGATAATGAAGCAAACATAAAGTAAGTAATTGCTGGGATCATAAGAAACCTTAGATACGCGAGATACCCAACAAGTGGTGTGCTGCAGACCTTTCTTCTATGCTGAGAGCCTTCAAGACAATCAATAACAACAACTATAAACATGAAAAGGCCAGCAAAAAAAGAAAAAGGAAATAGAAAGGGATAGATCTTACCAAATAGGTAAATAAAATGCTACAAAGCATAATGGCTATTTTTATGCCTCTTCATTGGCATGCAAAAAGAAGAGAGCAGTAATCTCTACTTCTTTCTTCTTCCCTTTGGAAGAAAAATTCTAAATTATTGATAAATTAGAGAAAAGTCTAAATGACATAAATCAATATGTTGCTATAAATATCGCAGAAGAGAACTACATCATGAGCCATACATTATTGGGAGTAGGAAGAGCTTCACTGTGAAATTATAGAAATGTGTAAAATAAATCTCACATACCAAGTACTCTAGTTATAGTATGATACATAGTGTAGGAAATTTAGCAAATTGTTAAAGAAAATTAGAAATTAGGACTTTGACAAAGAAATTTTTAATTGTGAGTCACAACTTCTAATTAATTCATCAGGTGAGTGCAGGAAAACCCTGCCTTTGGGGATGGTGTTAAACTGGGTAATAAAGTCAGGCATAAGGGTACTTGTTACCAGGCCCCAACTGATCGTACTTTGCATTCAAAGTCGAAATTGTCCTCTAACTCCTTTACTGCATTATCCCATGATTAATTTCTTATTCTGGAATATTCGGGGTATTTCACGTACTCCAAATCTTTGTAGATTAAAAAGGATCATTCATGAGTTCTTCGTTCAATTAGTGGCAATTTGTGAGCCGAACGTATCGCCAGGTGACATCCGTTTGATATGTGTAAGACTCAAAATGGATAGTTGGTTGGTTAATAGGGAGGGGTCTATTTGGGTGTTCTATCAAAATTGTTTTCATTGTGAGCATGTTGGGGAAGCTCCCCAGCATCTTACCCTTAAACTCACTTCCCAGTTCTGCCCGATTTATTTCTCTTTCGTCCATGCAAAGTGCACAGAGCAGGAGGGCACTCTACTCTGGTCAGCCTTGTTAGATGATAATCCAATGAATGATCCATGGCTACTGGCAGGGGATTTTAACGTCATCATTAGTGAAGAGGAGAAGCGGGGAGTTTTGCCTGTTATGCTTGATGAAGGAGTAGAACTGCGAACATTTATGGCTATGGTGGGAGTTGGTGATGCAGGATTCTCAGGGCCGCGGTTTACATGGTGTAATAATAGAGGAGGGCACGCTCGAATTTGGAAGCGACTGGATAGAGTGCTTTTTAACCCAATTGTGGCTCTATTGGGGATGAGTCTTTTGGTTTAGCATCTAAGCAGAGAGCCATCAGATCACCCCCCTCTTCTTCTCTCAG